CACATTCACCTTCCACACTTCATAGTCTTGTACTCATGGGAATTAAATATTTAAGCCATTGCAAATTCACATCTGTATTTCTGCTTTATAAATATCCATGGTACATCATGCTATTAACCCAGAAACAGGACTACAGGACTGGTAGGGTGAATCTAGAGGGTGAATATGCCCCCCGGCACGCTGGTTCAGCCCAGCAGTGGTACATTCTCTCAAAAGCTCTTCCCAGAATCCTCCAGCCCTGCCAGTCAGCACCATCTTCTCTTCCTGTACATTTTCACCAGTGACAGGTGAGCTCTGATAATCAATCCAGCACAGATTTACAGGACAAACAAGTGTCTTCGGGCAACGTAAGAGCAGGTGAATCTAATTGAATTCTTACTGTATTCATACCATCCATTTTCCATGCTGGCTTAATGAGTTCAGGGTCATTTTGAGCCTGGAGACAGAAGGCAGAGAGGCACCCTGGCTGGGATTCCAGTCCATCACGGGGAGATCACTCTCACACACCATCGCACACTATGGGAGATTCAGAGACACACCTGCCCAAATGCATGGAAGAGAGGAGACTAGAGTAGCTGCAGGAAACTCCATGAATTTACAGTCTAAGATTTATATAATTTATTTGTAACTAATTGTATTTATTGTATCTGTATATATATTTTTGGCACCGAGTTGCATACTAACTGCATTTCATTGGCTCTGTACCTATATTCAGCACAATGACAACGAAGTTGACTCAAATCTAAAAAAAATGTGGAAACATGCAAACTGCAAACACACACACACACACACACACACACACAAACATACACAGACCTGTACTCATATCTTTGTTGGGACTAAACAAAACACAAATCTGTGATTGCAGTCACAGATTTAAAAAAAAAAATGAATTTCCCCTTGTAGGGACTGAAATGCGGTTCCCACAACATCACAACAGATTTTAATCATATTGTGGGGACATTTGGTCCCCACAATGTAATGCATACCTGGACACAGACACACACTGAGACCCTCCCCATGCTACATGGCTACTGTGTAGCGCTAACCGCTAACCCGCTCACATGGATGCTCGGTGCCACAACACGCTCGCAGAGGCCCATTGTTTACGGGGCTTTGATGTCTGAGGAGGAAACGAAGCTGACAGGAAGACAGAGACACCATGACTCACCGTGTCATTATTCACGCAACAGGACGCACACACAAAAAGGTATTTCTCTAATGCTTTTCAACTTCCGTGCAGCTGCGTGTCTGAGTACGCAGCACATGTATGCAGATTAGTAGTGTTACACAGTGCAGCACAGCTACAGTATATGGTACAGTTATAGACATTATTAAACATGATGCAACCTTTTCTCTAACTAATAGAGTTTAAACCAGTTTACCTGTCTATAGCAGGCTGGGGTACACCCTGGGTAGCATGCCAGTGACCATTAAACCTTGATGATATGCCATGTGAACAGGACTTTGCGGAGATGCAGACACCCTCCGGGACAGACCTGCCTGCCCTCCTGTCCATAGATGCAGTGGTCACTCCCCTCTGCGTTATACCGGGCCGACCCAGTAATATGTCCCAAAGTGCAAAAACAGATGTCTGCTAGAACACAGTCTACCTCAAAGCGTGAGAGAGAACACAGTCTACCTCAAAGCATGAGAGAGAACACAGTCTACCACAGTGTGTGTTACAGAGAACACAGTCTACCTCGGTGTGTGATGTAAAACACAGTCAAACTCAGTGTGTGAGGGAGAACACAGTCTACATCAGGGTGTGACAAAGAACACAATCTGTCTCAGTGCATGATGAAAAGCACAGTCTACCTCAGGGTGTGACAGAGAACACGATCTGTCTCAGTGTGTGATGAAGAATATAGTCTACCTTTGCATACAATGGAAAACACCGTTTACCTTAGAGAACAGTCTACGTCAGTGTGTGAGGGAGAACACAGTCTACCTCAGTGTTTGACAAAGAACACAGTATGCCTCAGTGCATGATGAAGAACACCGTTTACCTTAGCCCATGATGGAGAACACAGTCTACCTCAGTGTATGATGGAGAACCCAGTCTACCTCAGGGTGTGACAGAGAACACAATCTGTCTCAGTGCATGATGGAGATCATAGTCTACCTCAGTGCGTGATGGAGAACACAGTCTATTTCAGTGCGTGATGGAGAACACAGTCTACCTCAGTGCGTGATGGAGAACACAGTCTATTTCAGTATGTGATGGAGAACACAGTCTACCTTAGTGCATGATGGGGAAAAAAATAAATAAAACAAAATCGATATGTTCTGGGTGACCTGTAGATGAGAAGCACACTGAATATTTAATGTGGTGTCACATACGAGTCACCTGAAAGCCAAGGAGGCATAATGAACCATGTGGGAGTGGCAGAGGTAATGTGACCATGTGACCATATGACCATGTGACAGGGAATCATGCAACAGGAGCATCTCCATCATGGACTTTCACACATATTACTTAGGTGGATTCAATGTCCTGAGCTGGGATCATCAGCCAAAAACACCTACATCCTCAAAAAGACCAGGAGGACAATGTCCATCACTGAAGCATTCCCAAGACACAACATTTATCGGTATAAACCAGCAAAGACAAACCATTTTAGTCATTTTTATCATCAGCCTGTGAGAACTGCAGGGTAACTGCTTGATGAGATCAGTAACACTTGACTTAAATATATTTGCATGATACATACCCTCATAAAGCATTATAATGCAGTCATAAAGCATTATAAACACAGCTATAAATATTTACAAAAAGGCATAACATTATAGCCATGTTCATTATGCATTGCAAATGCTCTCATCTATAATATATTATAAATATCTTCATAATACATTATACTTACCATTATAATGCATTATGAAGGTATTTATAGTGTATTACGGCCGAGAGCATTCATGATATGTATCCTCACTATAGTCCATGGATTTAAAAAGGATAAATGCTAATTCAGCTCTAATATATAACTTATAAATACTCTCTGATTACCAAATTCGGTAACGCTTTACATTAACTGCACCTTCATAACGCTTTTATATTTAATTCATAAAACGTTCAGTACACCTTCATAATGTATTCATGAAGTATTCATAAAACATTCATAAACATCATGTATGTATACCTTAACATCCCAACATCCCTTAACAGCTGTAATATACATTAATAACAAACATTATATAATAATAATAAACATTATAATTAATCATGTAATATTTGTTGTTAATGTATATTAAAGCTGTTAAGGGCTGTTAGAATGTTAAGGTGTACTTGCATGCTGCTTATGAATGTTCTATGAATGCATCATGAATGCATTATGTAGGTGAACTGAATGTTCTATGAACACATAATGAACGTATTATGAAGGTGCACTTAATGTAAAGCGTTACTCACAATTCTTTAGATACTTAGAGTTCTTGATACCAAATTGTCAATGTTGATGCCTATAGACTATAGATGTCATGTGGAAAGTTTGCACAGATTCTGGCAGAGAGGACAGTGACAGTAACTCACTTGTTTTAGGGGACAGTGAGAGAAACTAACCTGACACAGAGAACAGTGACGGTAACTGATATGACACAGAGGCCAGTGACCTGACATAGGATCAGTGACAGTAACTGACCTGACTCAGAGGACAATGACAGTAACTGACCTTACATGGGGACAGTGACAGTAAATGACCTGAGTCAGAGGACAATAACAGTAACTGGTCTGACTTAGGTGGACAGTGACAGTAACTGATCCGACACAGAGGACAGTGACAGTAAGTGGCCTGATATAGGGGACAATGACAGTAACTGACCTGACTTAGGGACAGTGACAGTAACTGACCTGACTTAGGGGACAGTGACAGTAACTGACCCAACACAGAGGACAGTAACAGTAATTGGTCTGATTTAGGGGACAGTGACAGTAACTGGTCTGATTTAGGGGGCAGTGACAGTAACTGGTCTGACTTAGGGGACAGTGACAGTAACAGACCTGACACAGGGGACAGTGACAGTAACTGGTCTGACTTAGGGGACAGTGACAGTAACTGGTCTGATTTAGGGGACAGTGACAGTAACTGGTCTGATTTAG